AAGCAGGCATTTGTTTATACTACCAGCCAAGCTTTCACACTTCAAGGAAATGTATTTTCCCAGGTTGTTGGTCTATAAAATTTCAAAATCCTAAAAATATTCAAAGCATGTGAGAAACAGGTGCAAACACAGATTCCACTGGAGGCTGGAGGCAACGGGCTTATTCAGCCTTTGGTACTACTGCAGGCCCAGGGTGGGCCTTTCCTCAAGCTTCCTGGCTCCTGGCTCCAGAAGGCCAGAGTTCAAATGTGCTGTGAGATCTTCCTGCCACAATACAAAGTCAGTCTTCCTTCTTCTCCCCTCCTCTTCCCTCTTCCATTTTGATAAGTTTGCAAGCAGATTACAAACTGTCATCTCAACATCTTTTCCTTCCACAATGGGATCTCACTAGAGATCATAGCAGGTGGCAAATTGGTCTGATTTATCACAATTTGCATTTTTAATTTGTGATATTTTAGGCCCAGGGAGGTTTTTTATGGGCCTTAAAATGGCAACACAAACATTGATACATAATTCATTATCTATTTTTCATAATACATGTGGTTAGCAACCCATTGACAAACAGAAATATCATCAACAGTTTAAGCAAGATGAAGTTACAACTTTAGCTTTCTTGCCCCCTACTCTTCCCCTCTGCGGTCTATTAAGAATAAATTGCTTGTGACTGAAACACAATCAGCAGCCTCCATGCTGATGTTTTTTCATCAGAAAAAGCTTTCTCAGTTGCAGCTGTTATTTAGAATGACCAAATCTTAAATAACTGAGGTAGAGTGTTTGTTGGGCTTCCACAGTTCCCTGCCTTGGGAGCACTGAGTACATTTCTATTTCAGCAAAAGGTGAGAGAGCAAGAGGGATACCACCAGTCTGCGTTCTGCTTCCTCTTTCCTTTCAAAACCCTTAACCTCACTCTACACATATTCTTTTGTCCTTTGCTTCCCCATCCCCTCCTGCCCCTCCTAGGCATTGCTTTTGGCATAACTCTAAATCAGAGGAAAAATTTAACACCTGTAGTCCTTTTAAAACAACAGCTCCACAGATAAATGACATACATAGGCGGAATGCTCAGGAATTTGGGAAGACACCAGCAAAATAAAGGGGGCCCTGAGCAATTTTGTCAGAAAGATGATCAGTAAAGAAAACCAAGAAAAATGTAGAGACCTTATTGTATTCTTCGTGGCAGAAGCTGTAACTCAACCGAGATAGACAAATTCCTTCTTTTTCCTATGCTATTCCAGGTACCTTCTACCCAGAAAAAGCCTGTTCCATCAGTGGAATACCTCTGAATAGTCCATCTCATGCCAATCTTCCTCATTCTCTGTCTCTTACTGTATAGATAAATCAGCCAACCAAAATGTCATTTGTAGGCAGTGTTCTCAGACCCTACATGTTACGTACTGTGGCAAGACCAAGAAAACACACTCTGCCTTCCAGGAATTTAGTGGTCTTTGATACCATGCAGTACAGCATGTGATTGGGCTTTAGTTATTTAATGTGGTTGATTTTTTCCCTCTAATGACTTTCTAACCTTCTTTAGAGCTTCCCTATTTTATAATGTCCATTAAATACCTCTGTTCAATTCATACATGTAGGAAGAATTTAAACCATAGATAAAAATAATCACTTGCTTAAACAATTGAAATGATTATCTTTTTAGGATTTCCTTCATTTCCTTCATCTCCTTCATCAATTTTTTATGGAATGCTTACTAGATTACTGAGCACCTTTCAAGGTACTAGGAATGCCTCAGTGGCCACATCAAGTTTTAATATCTTGCTAGACCTAAGAAGATTAGAAAGACATAAGAATATCCTTGAACAGTTGCATAATTTCCACACTGAAAATAATAGTTTTTAGCAGGCATCTGACTCCAGCCACAATTTACTGGAGACATTGACATTGGCTGTACTTCTTGGTAAAGACTTGACTCAATTCTGGTGATAAACTAAAATGGCTCCAAAGACAATAGCCTCAGCAGCTAAGTCCGGATTTTCATGCATGATGGTAGGCAGGAAGAGTCACTCTCAGAATGAGTGTTTTAGAGGATCTGGAGGATGACATATGAAATCTTCGTTGAGAACCTGATAGCTGTTTTTACACAGTTGATGGCATTGGGTAATCTCCATAACATGTGGCTATGGTCAGCAATGCGTAGTCCCTTTAAAGCATAACAGACTCCTAAAGAGTTGCATTTTAGAATGCATACACTTACCCTTGATTCTTTTATTACAGTTTGGCTTCCCTCTTGCTAAGCTGCTCTCTTCTCTGAGAAGATTTATAGTGTCAGGAATGCTCATACAAGAGTAGCTGAATAAGTAATAAAGTTCTAAAGGAACACTTATGTTAATTTGTAATGCACCATTTGTCAACAATCTGAAAGACATTATTTCAAACAAAGGTAAAGAAGGGAATGTTAACAGTCAGTGAATGTATTTGTGCTAACTGTTATTCTGTGTAGATCATTGCACTGCATTGTCATCATGTTAGTAGTGCTTTTAATTGTCCATAATTTTTGTAATTTACTTTTTAAATCAAAATATCATAGTAAATGCTTTTTGCAAACTTCCAATTTTATATATTATATATACTCAGATATGCCAGACTTTGGGTTTTGGTAAAAGAAAATAGATTGCCCAGGTGTAATTCCAAATGTTAGGTTAGCATCATTTTATTTAGTAAGGCTGGCATGCTCCAAGATAATTAGAGAATCGTGTGATTATCTAGATAATCTGATCCAAAAAACATTTTTTGCTCGAATTGTTTTTTTTTCTTGGCCATAAATGTCTAAATTAATTGACTTAGCCATTACTTTCACATGGCCTACCTAGATTCAATCTGAAGCCTAGGGAACGAGCAGAATTCCATCAAGTTTCCTTGGGACATCACTGGCCTTATTGCTTGTAGAATGGAGTTTATTGTGCATAAACAAGGAAAGAATAGGCTAGCTACATTTCTTGTGAGCTTCATTGAGTAATCTCTACATCTACATCCACCAATTTTTCTAAATGGGGCTGTATACAATGCAGGATTTAGGGAAGTCTCTAATCCAGTAGATAGGTCCAAGATGGTGGGACAGATAGAGTAAAATTAGTTTAATTATAGTATTCTTCATATATTCACAATTTTTGGTACCCTGCAGCTTCTTTAGGCCCGGTTCTTCTGAACCTGGCTGTGGGTGATCCCCTTTGTACAGAGAGGCTTCTATGGCCTTATGTATGTACAGCTAAATTATTGCCCTCTTTAGTCCTAGTGCCTCACACGCCAAGTCCTCTAATTCATCTTACCTACCAGTCAAGTAAATTCTCCAAACTCTAGCTTTCACCATTTTAGTCTCCTAATCATAAACTTTCAGCGACTGTCCATTTCCTTCAGGATAACGTCCAAAGTACTCAGCCTGACACTTAGGTTCCTCTGAGATCTGCCTTCAGTCTAGCTCTTCAGCATTCCTCCTGTGTGCCTCTACAGGAAGTCTTTATTCTAGTCATTTGGAGCATCTCATCAGCCCCCTACCTGCTCTGGGCCACTCTGGATTTCATCTTCACTTGCCTCCTCTGCATGCCCACCTCTCTCTTCCCACTGATCCAGTTCCTCCTGCTCAGCAAGTCTCAGACCAATTCTCTTTCCTTCTTTGAAATTTCCCTGAATGATGTGGTCCAGGGGGCCTCCCTTGCTGTGAGTTGGTACCTATCCTTGGCCACCTAATTGTGTCTCATGAAGGGGAAGCTCTTATACTGATATTTTTGTAGACAATTAACTTTTCTCCTATAAGTGTTATCTTTTCCCAGTTCTGTGTTATTTCCACATGTGAAACCTTTTTGTATGCTCCATGGCATCATAGTCTCTGATTGAATGTCAGGATGAGAAATTATGAGCCCAGTTGTAGTTTCTACTCTTCCAGCCACACCTTCTGCAGTGGAGAATTCCTTCATCATTCAGATAAAGATGAAACTTTGGGAAATCCAATGCATAAATAAGGCCCATGACTCTTAATTTCCTGTAGTGGCTAAGAGCTGGCTCTGGGATCTGAGTGCCTAGTTTAGAATAGCGATTTTGCTCCTCTCTGGCTATATACTTTCTATTTCTGTGCCCTTATATAAAATGAGGATAATAATGGTGTCCATATCAATGGTTGTTGAAAGGATTAAACAACATATAGTGAAGCAATTAGATCTTGGCACATGATTAGTGCTCACTAAATATTTGTTTTAAGTTATTATTAAACATTGTCAAAAGAATTGGGTCCCAGTCTTCTCTTTCAGGAGGAATGCCAGTTGATAGGAAAAGCACGAGCCCACTGTAAATAATGGACTTAGGAGATGGGTCTTTATCCCCTGGGCTAGTCTGCTAGGTCCAGGTGCTCTCAGGGTGGCTGAATTACAGGGCTTTGCCCTAGCCCATCTACTGGGGTGACAAGCATAACTCTACAGAAGTGGTTTTATTTTCATTTTAATGTACTTTCTTCTCAGCTCTTTGACAGGACAATAGCAATAGCTTGCTAAGTTGAAAAGGCTGCAGCCCAGTCTTTCTAGCATTAAATGTGAGACTGAATCTAGGGTCAACACAGTCAAAAGTGGGATAGAGATATGAACAAGACAAACCAAAAGCATGCAGATGAGACAACCAAGAAGTCCAAGACCTGGACTAGGAAACCACCAAAGGTATCTAAATGCTCCTGAGGTTCTTGGTGGCGGAACTGAGGCATTTACACCGGAATCACAGTATAATCTTGCCTGCATGCTGCTTGTCTTTTACTGCATGCATTTGTGCTTAAGTCACCGATTCACATTTATATGATTTCAGATGTTTCACCTAATGGGTGCTTTTTTTCTCAAGCCTACATCTGACACCTGTTGAGCAAGTACCCTTCCTCCTTGTGAGCCCAAAAGGCAAGACCCTGAGGCCTTCACCCTTTGTCAGACCAGAGGACAACCCTTTTGGCTACTGGACACACCTGGAAGAGCCCACTGCGCAAGCTGCCTGCAGAGTGGTGAGTGGTGAATTACCTTGAATTCAGTCTCAATGTTGGCTAGTCTGGCTAACTCGTTGCTTAGCTCCAGTGCGGTGAGGACAGGGTCTTCGCTGGACAGGGACAAATAGGCAGCACTTGCCAGTCCCTTGTAGGCATTCATGCGGGAGCGGGAGTGGCTGAAGGAGTCCTTCCGCTGCTTCTCAGTGCACTCGGTGCACTTGCAGAAGTAGTCGTGGGGCCGCTCAATGCGGGCACCCTTGAGCAGGAGGATGTGCACGATCTCGTACTCCTGGCAGTGGGCCGCCAGGATGATGGGCGTGATGTCGTGGGAGAAGCGTGTGCCATCTTCATCATAGGCATAGAAGTCATCGTCACGCAGCTCCTGCTCTAGTGGGCTGAGTGTCAGGCGCTGGCCCTGCGCGAAGGCTGGGTGGTTGAGGATGGCCTCCACGATGCGCACATAGCCCTTGCTGATGGCCAGCAGCAGCGCGTCGCCAACCCGTGCCAGGTTCTCCTTCTTGAGCAGCAGCTCTGTGACCTCTAGGTGTTCGTTGCCCACGGCCAGTTGCAGTGCGTTCTGCCCCATGTAGTCCACACAATTGAAGTTGAGGGTCTTGGACTCCTCCAGCATTTTTCTCACCACTGGGATGTTGCCGTACTCGGCTGAGTCCAGGAAGCGCTCCTCCTCTGGTGTCAGGCTCGTGCCCTTCTCATTGAACATGTAAGCGGGACCCCGGATGGCCTGGCGGCGGCCCTTTTCCCTCAGTGTTGTGTGCCGGCGCTGCATGTTTTTGAAGGTGTTGCTCCCCAACCTGTGGGGTGACAAAGGCAAAGATGCTTGGTTACTTTCCCATGGGCCTGTGGGTTCCCCAGGGACAAAGCAAACAAAAATTGTTGAGGTTAAGAAAAGAGTGTCATGATTGGAATCTTCGTAGAAATTATGAAATCTTATTAAAAAGTCATTGTCTTATCCCTGAAATTAAGACAAATTGGATAACCTGAACTATTCTTATTCAAATGGAAGAATATTGATTTAGTTATCCAGCATCTCTACCCTTTGGGTAGAGGATTGGTGGCAGAGCTGAAATATGGGTTTATGTGGAGTGTAATCAGAGATGGAGGTGGTGGGTGTGGGTTACTGATGTGGACAACACAGGTCAAGGGCTGTTTGTTGTATTTCTATTTGTGCAAAGTTGAGGATATCACTTGACTTCCTTGTGCTTTTAGTACAACACTTCTCTGCACTTGCACCTGTACAATGTAGGTAACCTTTTGTGTGCTGTAGGGCCCATAAGAAGATGAAATGAGTTAACGTGTGCGTAGAAAGTGCTCAAATGCTCAGTTGATGCTGGTTTTATTCTGTCTCCTGCCTATTGGTATGCCTAGTTCAACAAGGGCTGTGCCATAGAGATGGCTACCATGGAGACTGCTGTCTTTGGTTCAGGTGAATCGCTTCTAATGAGTTCCCATGCTATGACAAAACAGCAACAACATGCAAGCATGGCACACACCTCTGTTTCTACATCTACTGCTATTCTCTATGGGGACTGTACTTGCTTTCTAGTCCCTGAGAAGCCTGAGCACTTACTAAGGGCAAGACGTGGCAGGGGACACCATCCTACTCACTGATGGACTGTAGAGGTCCTCTTGAAAAAATTTAGACATAACTTTTTAGGATCAAACCTAGGTTGTTTTTTTTTTATGGTTGGAAGAACAGATCAATTTATATGCTAGCTTCATTTCTAACTTGCCCTTTCCCACTGTGGCATAGTGTAGAGGTTAATACTAGTACTACTAGTAATAGCAGTTAACATTTATTAAGCATCTATTATATGCTGGGGACTATACTAAGAAGTTAATATACTTTACATGTATTACTTGTGTAATTCTTCTGTGAATCCTGTAAGGTAGATACTATTATTGTCTTTATGTCAAATGAAGATCTCGTGACAAGTGAGGCTGAGAGACAGGCTTTGAAGTCAGAAAGTCTAGAGTTGCAATCTTGGCTCCACTTTTGCCAGCCTGTGACTTTGGACAAATTACCTAACTTTTAGTTTGCCAGGGTTTTAAAATGGCTGAATGGAGAGAATAATAGTCATAGTATAATGTGAGCTTGAGCCAGGTGCCCAATCTCCAGCTAGCCTTGAGACCTTGAGCAGGTCCCCAGCTCAATATGCTTTAAGTATAAAGTAGAGAGTCTGGACCAGATGTTCCCAAACACTCTACAGACTTGAACATTTCAAACTTTTCTGATCTCCAGTTGGGCTTACCCATATTTTCTGTTCTCCTTTTCTAGTCTACCCCCACTCACATTGCTCAAGTAATATTTGAATGGCATACATTTTGATAAGAGAGCATCTGTTCTAAAGAGTACTTACTTGGGGATTTGTTTTGAACTATTTTCCATGTTCCTTAACTGTCTTTTTGTTATTGGTCATGTCTCCATGTGTTAAGAATACTCAGTATTTCACTTAAGCCATCTTAAAACATAATTACAAAGGAGGACTTCTGTATTAAAAGTAGTGTTTTGAGATTTTTTTTAAAGCGGTGTTACTCAGTCTTGTAATTAAAAAAAAATTGGACTGGCTTTAGTTTTCTGCTCATTTTTACCTTTTGACTTGCTCAGACCCTTTCAGTTTTAGCTCTTGTAGGGCCCTTTCTGTATACAGCAAAGACTCTGAGGTCAGAGCTTGTACTCTCATCTTGCTTAGGCCAGAGTCACATTTCTTGGGAAAAACTGCTAGACTATTCAGTGGAGCAGCTTTTTAGCTGCAAAAAAGTAAAGGAATAATGATGGGCAACTCCCTCAAAAGGCAACTGTGGATAATAAATCCTAATAGAGAGTTCTGTGATCCTTTAGGGAGCGTCTGAACTGCCAACCACTTTTCTAAAGTGCACTTTGATAGGAGATTGTTGGGGAAAAGATTCTTAGGATTCAAGTTCATGAGCTCCTTCTGAGCCCATTACTCTCAACAGTTCTGTATTCTGGGGAGAGAGACTACTCACTGATGTCAAAGTAGACCATAGATGAGGAGTCTATAAAAGAGCTTTTCAGAATAGAGGGACTCACAAATAGGGTGCAGGCATTTATTATTATAGGTTTTTCAAAAGGAGAGAAAGTGACTGAGTTGAAAGCTAAGCAGTCATCTCATTTGTATTCCTAAAGGACCTTGTTTCAGAGGATATTATGAACTCATTTTTAAGGTCTGTCATCTGGGTACACAGACTTAGGTGGGAATTGAGCCCCCCAAACACTAATAATCCTTTTTATAGAATTACTCAGCCTGTCCTATGATGAGGCTTCTGCCCTCCTCAGAAGCACCTCTCTGGACTTGGACATCACAACTCAAACCAAAAGAAGACAGTTTCCACTCAAGAGCATCTGAGCAGTGTGTCAGATGAAATGGCAGCTGCTCTAGAAGAAGCTTGAGCTTGATTCCATGTCACTTTTTCATTAGAGATCTGCTCAAGAGGGAGAACAGGTCAGATTCCAAGGTCAAAGTATACAACTGTTGCACAGCAACAAGCCATGGGGAGATTAATTCAAAGGAAATGTAATAACTACTGAACCACGTCAGAGTAGAGAAACATTTCACAAGGAATACATAAGTACTCAATCTAAATTCAGACTCCACATAAATATCATAGATGCTACAGCCTACAAACTTAAAGGATGTTGAAGCATTGTTTGTTAATTCCTCTCATTAAATGAACATAAATAGCAAAATATTAGCATTCTTATTATTTTAGGTAGAGAATCTTAGGTAGGTGAAGCAAAAAGACTAAACCTTAGGGAAAATAATTTCTGCACAAGAGTAGAAACATATATATATGTTTCTATAATTATTTCTTATAATAGAAAAAATATGTATGTATCGTTAGTATTTATCGGAAGTTAAAATGTCCTCACCAGTTGACATGCATTTTTCCGACTGACCTTCAAAGCAGACACCCAGAGGTAGTAAGAAATAAGCAAGCATCTTTTTCCCAGCCTTTAAAACCTCAGCTCTGAGATGCATTTGAATGTTCACAGAATTGTCAATTCTGCTCTTCTCCTAGCAGAATTTGGCATTGATGAAACTTTATGGACCTTCAAGTCATGTATGCATATAAGCATATAATGGGACATGCTACTCAATGAGATTGCTTCCAACATAAGGGGTTTCACAGCAGACCCTGGAGCCACATGAATTGATTCAGATATCAGTGGAGGCCTTTTACCTCACTGGGAGCTTCTTATTAGCTCTGATTCCCTCTTACTCTGATATCCCTCTAATGATGCCTTTTAAACATTTATTTTTTTAGCTTTATGAAGGTGTAACTGACGAAATGAAGGGAATCCCACTATCTAGTTAACACATTTATCACTGTATGTATGTATGTATGTATGTATGTACGTATGTATGTGGTGAGAACATTTAAGGTCTACTCTCTTAGCAAATTTCAATTATGTAATAGTGTTATCAACTATAGTCACCATGTTTCACATTAGATCTTCAGACCTTATTCATCTGATAGCTGAAAGTTTGTACCTTTTTACTAACCTCTCACTATTTCCCCCATTTAAATATTTATACACCTAAGAATATATTTAGCCACCATATCCTTGTCATTTAATCTTGACCTTAGTCAGGCTTTAGTTATATGTTTCACATGGGTTGGAAAGAATCCACAAAGATATGTCAAAAAGATGAAGTCATCTAGTCCACAATAGCTGGTGTCCAAAGCTCACACTCATGAATCAGACGTGTTGTTCTTCTGGACTCCAGGGATTTAGTCACAGTCTTAGGGCCAATGACGAGCAAAATGATTCTTCCTAAAGTGCAATTAGCATTTGATTGCCCATACTTTAATATTTTCCTTAAAAATGAACTTTGAATGCAAATGCCTTTTTATTTGCATATATTATTGAGATAATGAGGGATCAAACTCATCAAACACCTCAATTAAGATCCTGTGTTTTTCATTTTCTATAAATGCATACCTTGACATTTGATGTCATTGAGAAGAAGGGTTCCAGTGGAAACAAAACTGTATTTGAGAGGAGGACTGATTATTAAACTTCCTCTTAATCCTTCAGTTGCTATTTTTATCAAGCTGCTCTTACAGATGCATCAGCTAGTCTGAAGGAAGCCAGATGTCAGTGATCCATGAAAAAGTATGAATTTTGTATACTAAATCCAGCTGCAAATGAGCATGATCATAAAGCCTTTTAGAGACAGGGATTGTCGTTAATTACTGATGAAGAAAAGGCCACTTAATCAAATGTCTTTTTAGAGATATTTGTTGCCTTTTTTTTTTTTTGAAAAAAATTGCTACATGCACCACAGGTCTCTGTGGAACTCATTCAAGCCTAAAACCAATGCAGTCTGTAACATTTCACAATTGAACATAGATCCAAACAAAATCCAAGAGTCATATCAATCACCCAGGAAAACTCTGGTCTGTGCATCCTCTCTTAAGTGTATATATTCTGAGTTTTAGTCCAGAGCAACAGTAATGAAATAGGCAAGTGATCTAGAGTCTTCTCCTAAACCTGAGCTCCCTTACCAATGGAAAGGGAGTAATAAAATCTATTTACCATTGGCCTCAGGACCACAGTGAGAATGAAATAATGTATATCAAATATACTGGATACTGTAAAACCTTATATAAATGTTCATGACAATAATGATCAAAACTTTACATATTAATGCACTTAAGTAAATGATTATAAATTGGCTTACATTTCATTCTACACTGATATTATTCAGCTTGGCTGTTTTTCTAAATGACTACAGAATAGTGATAGTTAACATATATTACATGTTTGCCCTGTGCCAGACACTGCACTAAATGCTTTATATAAATTATTTTAAGTTCATACAACTCATATGATAAGCTTAGCTATTTTGTCACTGACTAATCACAATGATTAGCATTTATCACACATTAACCACATTGCAGGCACCATGCTGAATACTTCACATGTGTTATCATTTTAAATTCTCATAAACTACTATATGATAGAGGTGCTGTTGTCATTCCCATTAAATAGATGAGGCTCAGATAAATTAACCACTTTTTCCAAGGCTAAACAACTTGTGAGCGGTAGACGAGAGAAAATTAAAGAGTCTAACCTGATTTCAAAGTCCATGCTGTTGGCTAGATGCTGCTTCCATTCACTTTCCTTCTGCATTTTTTTCTAAATTTCTTTAGACTAAATTTTTCCATTAGAGTGCAAGATCCTTGAGGGCAGGGGACTATTACTTGTTTATATGGTATATGTACATGGCATCTAGTACGGCTGACATTTGCCATATGGTGCATGGTCAAATAACTTAATAAATTCTTAAATACTTGAATTTGGATTGGTTATTAAAGAAGACCAATAAAACAGAGGTGTTACTGTTTATCAGTAGCCTCCTTATAAATGCAGGAGCCGTATAATGTTTTAACTACTATTTTATATTTGTAGCTAAGTTTCAAGGCAAAATTATTTTCCAGTTAGCTCTATTATAAATAATGGCCCATAAGTTGCTAGAAGAGACAGTTAATATCGGAGAGTATATGTATTAAGTCCCTTGGATGACTGGGGCAGAAAACTGAGGCATTCCCACTTCTGCATAATACTCCTAAAGTTTTTGTTATGTATTTCCAAAGGCATCCAGCTTATTTTTAAATATATTTTTTTTATTCTCTTGAGTGGAGATAAGATAGTGCATATAAATTACAGTGCCAAGTAAGTGCTCTAGTAACCTTGGATAATGTTAACTACTTTATCTTAACACAATTGTAATAATTCTAGCTCTAAAGCATTCAAGTTTCCATCTAAGCTAGTGACAATAATTTGTTTCTACAACACATGTATTTTGAATAAAAGAAAAAAGATATCCACCTATTATCTTGTGATTATACATGAGCTCATATACCTCACCAGTCAGTCCTATAGCAAACAAGCAAAGTATCCTTCTGCTTCTCATTACATTATATTGAGGTAGATATACTTTCCAAAAAGTTCTGTTGATGAGCAATATTTTTTTCCCATTGCATCATGGATTGAAAATATTATCTAGTGTTCCTGAATTTTAATAAATGATTTTATCATCAGTTTATTTTTCACCAAATCATCATTTCTCTAAACATTATTTAGAGAAGAGGTTTTTCTCGGTATTTTCAAACTACCTTATGTATTAACCATTCAAGTATAATTAGTACTTTGTGTGTGCACCTTTTATTTATTCTTTTTTTAAATCCTTATTTGTCTCTTTAGAACTGGGGAGTTATGAAAATGGGTGTGTATACTTTGTGTATAGCTCCAGCTAGAGATAAACAAGTTCTATAGTTATATTTTCCCCCAAAATATTTGTCTTAGAATAAAATAAATATATGTAACCTTTTAATTGTTTCATTGACCTCTGTGGCAGAAGAGTCTGAAATGAACATCTACCAAGAAAGTAAGAGAGGCCCTTAAATTGTGAAATGACAATACTGAAAAAAGTATGCTGAATATTTATCTGGGGGAGGAAGTGTTGATTGCTTTTCCTAATAAGCAAGAGATCCTGGCGGCTCTTGTGTAGGATACAACATGCATCTGCAATTAGCCTCAATGAGGCTCTACATAGTTCTGATTTTTTCTGGGTCAATTACTGCCTAAAGGAGTTAGCTAGTCTACATGCCCCTAAGCTTAGGAATAAGTGTTTTTGGAAATAAATTTTTATGAAATTATAATTGTGACAAAGAACATTGGTAAGTTGTTAAATAATTGAACCAATGTCATTGTTTAAAAGATCTTAGAGAATGTGTTTCAGTCATATCCATAATGAATATTATGGATTTAATGTGAATTCATTCATAAATCTGATGTGTGCTCAGTGCTTCAGAAATAGAACCCACCAGCAGATGGCATTCTGAGGCAAAAATTCATGGAGCGTCACCAGACAGGGTCAGTCATTATTGCCTCTTTCAAATCTACCCGAATCCATTAAATCTTTAAATTACTATTAATTGCAATAGCATCTTGGTTATATCTACTTAATCATAATTTAGATGAATTCACAAATTCAAACTTGAAAAAGGAGTTTCTGTGTTCCAGAGTTTCAAAGCTTATGTCAAAGCCCTGCCCAGATTATATCTCTTTTATTAGGAGCATATTAGTTTTAAATGGATGTCCAAAGGACATATTTTCAACAGAGAGGAGGAAAAAAAATAATCTCTTTCTTCTCACCTTTAGTTCTTTAATAGTGGCTACTTGTTAGAATACAGCCTTCTTCCTCTTCCTGTTCTCATATTTATATTAAGGTAAATGCAACCACACACAAAAAATCAAATTAAGCTGCTAGTAGTGAAGTAGAAGAGACAACGCGTATACTCTTTTCTAGGATAAAAACTACACTCCCGCACAAAAGGACTGGGCTACCAGAATTTGTCTATTTCCAAATGGCTTTGTAAACTTAGACTTTTGATGAAAAGTAAAAAATTCCTCTACCAACTCAATAAATAAGAAAAATTTCAGATCTAGATTTACATCTAACAAATCCAAGCAATGCAGAAGGGGAAGAGGGCTAATAAATAAAAGTTTAATTCTATAATTCAGCGAGAAAACAAACCTCTACTGGAAAAATCAATAAGAAAAAACCATCATAGCTGCTTACATTGACGGTGAAATACGCAGGCTTGTCCCTCCTCTAGATGACCGGAATCCGGTGTTGAGTCGGGGGAATCTGACTCCCCATCGGTGGTAGCCTAGGAGGTGCCGCTCTCCATGGTGCTGAACTGTAAGAGCTGATCGAGAGCGGAGTTGGAGAGGATGTGAAAGCGCGCTCAGCTGTCCTTTGTGCTGTAATGGGTAAAAACTCGCCTTCTGAAGCAGACCCGCCTTACTGTTCTTTTTCTAATCTGGGGAAAATTTCCCAGGGAACATGACGGAGAGGGATCGTGTGTGAAGCTGGCATGTGGCGTGGTAATGGGTTGGCATAGTCCCCACCCCTTCTCCCAGACAGTAGCTTTGTAAGGGAGGTGGCAACTCTGCCTAGCTCCTCATATTTCTACCTGCCCCCCTCATGCCCCAGAACAGCACCTACCCCCCCCACACACACACTCACACTCTCTCTTTCTCTCTCCCTCCCTCCCTCTCTCTCTCTCTCTCTCTCTCTCTCTCTCTCTCTCTCTCTCTCTCTCTCACACACACACACACACACACACACACACCTCAATTATATAAGACAGCAGGTTTTGGCTCTGGAGGCAGAATACTCATCTGTTTAAATAAATTAAAAATGAGAAATGAACTGTTTTTCTACCTGTTGTGTCTGTGTGTGTTTACAGAGGGAGGGAATTAAGAAAACTAAAACCAGAGGAACCTGAAGAGTGACAGCAGTAGTTTCCTTTAATAGGCTTTAAGGGCACACCCCACTTTGTCTTCTGTGAGTGATGTATCTTCTAACTTTACCTTTTTGTTTCATATCTTTTTGCATTGTCTAGGATCAGGAAGAGGTCAGTGGTGTAGATCAAATCTGATGTTAGTAAGAAAACTTGAAAAGGGTTAGCTTTCATTTGTAACTTTCCATTTTATGAAAGGAAATTCCTAATTCAGAAACCTATTTTCCCCACAGTTCCCACTCTCACCAATTGCTATGTTAACAAATGGTTTATGATTCTTAAACACTAAGGTGTTTTGATGGCCTCATTGGAGAGAAACCTCCTTAATTGAAATATTGCCTGTATGAGAGAAACCAGGATTGCTCCCAGGATCTACCTGGGTCACTGAACAATAAATTAGAGTGTTTATTCTTTAAAATCAACTCACGGATTAACAAATGACAGTCTGTAAAGACTATCTCTGTGTACAGATGCAATATTTAGGATTAAAGAGTTGGCTTATAATGTATTTTGCACAATGCCATTCTAGGTTTATATGCAAATCAGATTGAATTTGGTTCATTAATATGCTACTAGCATTTTCTCTGGAAACAATGTGGTGGGTGGGGAAGACCCTGGAATTTTGATTCACTTATTAACTGTGTGACCTTGGGCATGATACTTAACTTCATTGGATTTCAGTCATCTCATATGTAAATGGTAGGTAATAATGCCTTTTTCCAAATGTGTGGTGATAATTAATTGAACTAATATATACAAACACCCAGAAGATTTAACATTTAAGAGATGCATACTAAGTTTGAAGAGAAGTTAAAGTAATTCTCTACTTAAAATTCTAAAAAGCTTGACAACAAACTAATTTTATTCCTATAAGCTTTCTATACAAGCTTTTCAATGTTAATAATTGTACTTTATTGGATAAAATACCTTTTCAAAAAGAAATTTTCTTAAAATTAAGACTTTTTCTTTAAACCATTTTAGTCTTGAAGCACAAGGGAATTTTTAAAAAATTGGAATCAGCAACAAATACATTTAACTTATTTGAATAAAATGTAATTAAGAGCTATTTAGTATTACACTGAAGAGTAGAACAAAATATGCAAATCCAACAAAAGTGTCTTACACAAGCACAAAGTTAGAAGATTAGCAGTGACACTGATAACATACTTTTGATTGGGATCCTCATCATCATGATTAGTGAAGCAGTATAGAGAAAGTACTCTTAATCATAAAATGTTTTCTTAAAAATACTGTGTTGTAGCTTTTAGTTGACAGTGATGGAGAAGAAGTCTTATATATATGGAGGAAGTGAACTAATTATTTTATAGGTATGTTAACTGAAGACTGGTCAGAGTTAGAACAGACAGCTCTTCAAAAGTGGTAAGATGATGTTTAGCGACGGTTCTGTCCTAAGCGTCCACATTAGTAGAGAGCTGTATCACTTCTAGAGGATATCATATATGACATGTAGATACATACTTGTAATCTGAAAAATGTTACATATCTATAAAATATTTTCAATACGTGAGATACAGAAGTAATTAGGTCTTCACTATCAATAGTTAAAACTCTTGGACTAAAAGCTGTCTAAGGTTCATGTGTAAGGTGTTGAGCTTTGTTTTCTCCTAGGCTCACAGGAGAATGCATACCACTTCTAGTCAAACTTCTCGTGTTTTAATTCCAAATTTTCCATTCCCCAAGCTTGTCCTTCAGTTATCTCACCTGTAAAATGAAAGGAAAAACAATTTCTCACTTGTAGAGTTATAGTGAGGATAAAATGAGACGACTCACATAAAGTGCTTACAGCAATGTCTGGCTCATAGTCAGAGCTCAGCACATGTCAGCTTTCATTGTTGCTTAACAGCTCATTCTATGACCGAACAGTGAACACGCTATTGATCTGTAGTTCTCAGACTTCGTGTGTTCCATCATCACCTAACCAGCCTGTTAAAAATATAAAAATACAAATTTCTGGTGATTCTGATGTAGATGATTCATAAATTACACTTTGAGGAAGCATCGCTCTTGTCTATTGGAAGACCAAATTGTTTTAGAAACTGCAGCCATGTTTGAAAGTCTGTTTCAAGTGACTGAATCCTTTGGGATGCCAGCACTCAATCTAAGTTCTACTCTGCTGAAAGAAAGGTGTGTGTTACACACCACTGAGTCAGCCCTGACTTCTGATGTCCCAGTTAATGTGTGATGTCCACAATGGTCTGTTCTCAACAGCCCTGCTTGGCTCCTATAGACTCAGACTCATGCCCATTTTTTTTAATGGAGTCAGTTCATCTCATATTTGGTCTTCCTCTTTTTCTACTGCCTTCTATTTTTCCTGGCTTTAAAGGTTTAGAATGTGTGGGGGTTTTTTCCTTTTTTTTTTTTAGGCGAGGCAACCCTTGGTTGACCTCACAGATTGCAAAGACCTTGTCAGTTTACGATCCCTTATTATTATTTAAAAAAAAAAATTTTTTTTTACACCTACAGTACCTGGTCTTCCTAGGTGGTCTCCCATCCAAGTACTAACCAGGCCTGCCCCTGCTTAGCTTCCGAGATCGGACAGGATCGGGCTTGTTCAGGGTAGCATGGCCATAGACTAGAATGTTTTTAAAGGTCTAAGATGCTGAGTGGGAGAATCATAGGCCACCTGTGTTTGCTAATTGGCCTTACCCAAAGGAAAAGTAAACTTTCTGTGTTTTCAAGATAGGAGGTAGTTTTATAACTTAGAACATGGTGTCTATGGGAAGTTAGGTTCCTATCTCCCCACAGAAACTAGGAAATAAGGGTGCTAGTTCCCTTGATATTTACATTTCAAAGGGATGCCTCTCAAGTCCTTGAGAAAGACATTACAGGGTTGTAAAACTGGTAAGAAACTGCCTGCTCCCCCACCCTCAGGTATAATTGTCATATAACTTTAGTAAGAAGCTTTTTAAAGATTTATATGTCAAAGAAGTAGAGAAAGGTTTTACAGTGACAAGTTTTCTGAAATAAATGCTCTAAGGAAAGGGAAGCCTATCTAAAGTTTAGTCAAGCTGGAGGAATGATAAGGTCGTTTGGGTTATGACAGTGATGGTTTAGAGGTCTGAGAGATGTACAACTTGCTTTTCTTACCCCAGCTCTCACTAAAATTCCTGACTTGACCTTGAGCTGCTCATTACTAGACAAATCCCTCTTTTCCTTTTGAAAATGCATGAGCATTTTCCTTCCTGTGCTCATACACCAATGATTCCCACCTTAGTTCTGCTGAGTATTCCCTTTACAGATCTGTGATTCTCCTCTCTCATTTCCTTTCTGAACTTTTAATCTTTTATTATTATTATTATTATTTTTATCTCCTCTCCTTCCTTGTTTTGGGGGATAAACTATCTTTTGGCTTCCTTCCTGTTCTATTTTTCCATGAATCTCTGACTCTCAGTGTCTGCCTCGGAAAAAGAAAGGCTACACCAATGCAATATAGAAGAATCTCACTCTTCTCAGATTTTCATAAAGTAGTGATCGAAAAGCTTTTTTCGAACTAGCGTCATAGCAGCAGAATGAATAGGTGATGAGAAGGACTTGTGGAATCAGAGGGACCTGGGTCCTAGATTTGCAACTTACGGTGTAGCTTTGGGTAAGCTTGTTAACTTCTCTAAGCTTCAATGCATTTGTTTGCAAAATATAGTATTACCATAAGAATTAACTAAGGAAATGGATATAAACCCAGTATCAAGTATTGATAGCATTGTTTCTTTGAAACAAAAACAAAAACAAAACAAAACTGCAAAACTAAGTCTTTGCCTGCATAACGCCAAGAGCTGCTTTGAGAACATCTAAGGTAACATTTTCTCAGGTAGAACATCTGATCACTTCCCTCTTGTGCTAGATCTGCCCTCAAAATTAAGTTTGGTAGATTTGTATTGTGTCAACGTAGCAGAAATTCTGCAATTCCTAGCATTCATTTCCCTGCATAATTTTAAATCTGTTGGGCTATGGGAGGCATTTTGCAGGAGGATGTGACAGGTGGAAGTGAAGCAGCAGCCATATTCTTTATGTCTAGGTCAGTGCAAGGCACGAGGTGTTGCTGCAGCCCACTGTATGTTGTCACATGTTATAGGTGATCTGCTGGCTCACCTCTAGCTCCTGCTGCATTTCTGCCTTCAGCTTCTCTGACTCTTGGGCCAGACATGTGCTTAGCTCTGTGATGAAGGTGCTCTCTTCCCCTGCAGGATAACTTCATTGTCAAAGTGGGTGCTTGGAGGTAGTGAGTCTTCAGTGGGTGCTAGTCCTTTCTACCCATCCTCATAGATTCCAGTTTTTCTTTGCTTCCTCCATTTCACATCTATCTTCTCTTTCAGATGGTCCATCTGCAGATTCAGGTTCAAGTATCAGAGCAGGTAGAATAGCTTCATGTAGACTATTTAATCCGCTCTATCAATTCTGTAAAGTCAACTTCCTATGATTCATCTTTTCATATATCTAATCTGTCATAGTGGTTTTGCTCATTTGACTGAACC